CCTGGCCCCTCTGGGCCGCGGGGAGCGTGGCGGCTAGGCCGTGCCCCGCCGGGGCCCGGGGTGAGTGCGGGGCGGCCGGCGGCGGGGCCTGATCCCGCTGGGGAAGGAGCGCGGGCCGGGGCGGGCTGGGTTGTCGCCAGGGGCCCGGCAGCGGGGAGAGGCCGGCGGGGCGCGGATGCCTCAGCCTTTATCTCCGCGGCTCCTCGGTCGGAGGAGAACAAAGAGGATCAATTAAGCCTGTGCAGTTATTGCCCCGGCTCTGCCTCCCCGGGGTGCGCTCCGAGGGTCGCACCGGAGCGGCTTCCCACCCACGTTCCCCGAGGAAAAGGTGGTGTCCTCCCTTAATCTGTGGCATTTTGGCGCTTGAGCTCTGTTTGAACCCGGTCGGAGAATGGGAGAGAGGCCACGTAGCACTAACGAGCACGGTATGCGCTTAAAAACTAGCCGGTTTAGTGTATTCAACACAGCCTGAAAGTGAGAAAATAGAGTCAAAACCAGATGTGCCCTTGAAAGTCTTCCATAGGATTTTGCTGAGAATTACAGTAGAACGGATCAAAACCAACACATGGCTGTTATTTCAGTTTGCCCTCCTTGTACATGTCTCTTAGTTGTATTTGTATAACACATTTGAATACTGATTATTTTTTTGTTGTTGTTACTGTCATCTTTTCAGCATTCGAAAAAATAAGGGGAAAAAATAACTTGGCCCTAATAAATCATGCTGACACTGACAGCAAAATTTATTCTTGTTGTAGTCATCCGTGCTAATGGGTAACGCTCTGAGACTGTTTCATTTTGCAGCATCCTGGAGACAGTTACTAATTGCGTTTCTCGTCACCCTATAAAGAGGTAAACAGGAGCGTGTTCCGGCCCAGACTTTGCAAAGTGTCGGGGTAGTTCTGCCAGTTGAAATGTGACTATCCACTTACTTGAATACTTTGCAGAATGTGTGCCTTCATAGATTAGCAAATTGAAGTGAGGTTAACCAACTTGCTCAAGGTCATGGAGTGTCAGGGACGGAGTTAGCAAGAATGGAATCTGGCCATCCTGGCTGCTGGGGCTGTGCTCTCATTGCTGGGTGACTCTCCCAAATAATTGCAGGTAGTTTAAACATTGCTTTGCGTAAGTCCAGTTGAGGCCTTCAAAAACTTTTTTGGAGAAACAAAAATGTTAATAGATCAGCTCACGTGCTGTATTTCCGTGTAGCTTAAAGTAATGACACTGCTTGGTGTAGGAGGAGGGAATTTTGCAGGATTTGTGGCTTATTTTGTAAATATGCGCTCAAAAGGCATTGATTTTATTGAGTACATAGTGTAGAAAGGCTTATTGTGGTTTAGATTTAGAGGGTAGATCATGAGATATAATAAAAAATAGATTACACTGTAATTGAGACTTTTTAAAAAGGAGAATGCAGAGACTATGGCTGTAAAGAGGTTATCTTCTGAATATATATAAATAAAGTGTTTACCAGATGACATTCTCTAGAGTTATTTGCAGTTGTTAGGGGGGAAAAAAAAAGCAACCAACAAATGTGTTGGGAAGCTGCGGTGACAAGGCTGTTGGAAGTTGAAACGGGAACAAAAAACTTCCTCACTTTATTTATTTTTTCAGCAGATACTTGTTAAGTAAAAACAGCTCGCAATCGGTGCCATTTCTGACCCCAGAGAGAAGTTACGTTTCACAGGGGTGTTTTTTCTCTGTCGAGTTAAATTTATGAAGGAAGGGATTTCAAAGGAAACCCTGGCAGATCTGCATGTGCTGTTGTGACACCAGCAGTATATATTTAGTAACTTCAGGGGGGGAAAGGTCCTTATTGTGCTAAAAAAAAAATATATATAATAAATAGCAGTGACAATTGTTTGTCTGGACTTCAAAGAGCACGGGCAAGCAGGCAGGGGTTGTTCAGGTGTTGGGCTCAGGCCCACATCCTGCAACGAGTGTTACACTTGGCAGATCCCTGCGGCCGTGGGGAGTTTCGGTGGCAGGACCAGGAGAAGCCCATCCATGTGGCACAGGGCACAGATCTCGGGTTTGGACAGATTGATTTGTTCTCATCGTTGTGTTCTGCAAGTAATCCTGGCCACTGTTGACTTCAACGTTTAGTGGTGGTGAGATTCTGCTGCGGTGCACGGTGGGTAGAAGAGCAGCAGCAGACTGTTTTTAGGTTTTAAATGACCTGGCTGAGGTGCTGAAGGCTGCGTAGCCTTTTTCTGCTGCTTTAGGGGTCAGGGAAGTTCTGGTGATTCAGGCTTTCTCTGTAAAAGTTTATGCAGTTTCTTGTTGATGAGTGCTGTATGAGAGGTGAGCTGTTATTAATGCTAAACCATCAAATCTCCCCAGCATATGTATAGCTTATAATACTGTCTTTGGGAGAAGTACTTTTACTGGTATTACTTGGTGAGATAGCCCAGCAAGGTGACTTTTGAGCCAAAATAATTCTCTCAAAAAAGGATGCTGGTTGCTCACTTAGAAATCCAGAAATTCATACCACCGACTGCCACTGCTGTGTCAGCGAACACGTCTGCTGCAGGCCTGGCGTTGCCAGATTTTACTTATGCCAGTCTGAGCGGTAACTTCTTACCCAGCCAAGTCAAATAAGAAAAGGAAGCAATAACGGGGTGTACTTTGTAAAATTGGTGGCTTTCCACCTGCAAGTTGTGGAGTCCAGGGAGGTTTGCACGCTCTGCTTTTGATGGATGCATAAGGAAACCGAGCCTGTCAATAGGCTTAGTGCCCAAACCTCCACTGATGCTGTGATCTGTGCCATTGCCTGAGCTGAAGAAACTCGAGTTGTGGTGTGACACCAGGAATTAGAGTGAAACCTGCAGTGTTTTAAACATGAAATCCAAACAATACGAATTATTATAAATAATATTTTAAATTTTTTATTAAATAAGTCACTTAAAATACCTAGCAGCGGTTAGCTATTGGTATATAGTTTTGAACCATTTATTAACCCTTATTATTTATTTAAAACCCCCACCCTTTTTTTAATTTCAAAGATTGCCTGTATTTCTGGTACACATAACGCATGCGGGGCAGATAGAGATAAGAACCAAAGGTTCTCGTATATGTTTACTGAATATTGCATTGAGCTAACTTCTGTTAAAAAAATATATATAATCTTCTGTATATGAGAAGTTTCGAAAGAAATTATTTTGTATTCCCTTGACTTGGCAGTTTTCCCACATTAACTCTTCACATACTCAATATATTTGAATGGAACACTGAATCTCACTTTGCAATAGTATATAAAATTGTTGAAGAAATAATGCTTACACTTGCTGCACAAAGTGATTCCAGACTTTGTTAATTCTGATGAAACAAAAGGGATTTACCAAAATTCTAACAGGCACTTGGAACCCAAGTTGTGACTTACAGAGCTATTTCTTTTTCTAGACTGTTCTTAATAAGGTAGCAGAACATCAACTTGGAACACTATCATTGGGGATTTGTTTTCAGAATATTATTAGTAGCATTTCAGTGAATGGAAACAAACCTGTGCTCTGAAAAGAAACTGGATCTTGGGGAAAGACATTCCAGCAAGAGCCATGAATTTAATTCTACAGGGACGATTTGCTATTTAAAAAAAAAACAACAACATTTAAAAGCTTAGTTTGTGAATAAGAATGGGAGCCTGTAAATCTGAAGATATGGCAGATACTACACTTGTGTCATGTTTCAAGTGTGAAAAACGTATCTGGTGCTGGGCAATGGGAACATCATGGTGTTCAGAGCGCAAAAATAAACATTTGGGTTTGATTGTTCCCAATGCTGGGGCTGTGCCCTGCCAGAAAGGTCAGAAACTACACTTCTTAAGGTGCAACCCAACCAATTTATTGGACTGGAGAGCAGCTGAAATGGACGTTGTTTAATACAGCTTTGTTGGAAGTGGAAATTACTACTAATGAGTCAGTAGGAACTTTCTTTCTTTTAATATTTCATGCTATAGAATAAAGTTACACCTCAAAGGAGACACTGAGTTTGATAATTAGCCTGTAGGAGCTACAGTAAAATATGATGTTCTTGGAGGGGAAAAAATTTATGTAGCTGTTTCACTTTATTCGGTCTGTGTGTGTAAAGTCAATGGTATGTGTGCTGAGGAGTCTGGCCTTAATTTTATTGTATGAAATGTGTTTGAGATTGTTGCTCGATCGGGTCATGGGTTCTGGTTTTAGTTCTGGAATGTCACTCAAAATAAATCAAAACTATGGGGGTGGCAGAGAGAGAATTAGGATGGTTAGAGACAGCGGTGGTAGAAAACCTGTCTTATTTTTGAACCAAGTAGTAAATCCCAAATCTGTTTGGTATTATTCATCCCAGTTATTTTTCAGTTGGTTGCCTGTAACTACCATGCAATTGTAATGAGGGTTTAGTTTAAATAAGGCATGAAGCTGTTCCCCATTCTTTTGTTCTGAATCTCTGGGATTTGACATACCTGGGTGCCTGTGTGAGCAGATACCTGAGTTGTTAGACCTCATTCAGGGAGGCCACCACTGCCCAGAGATTCCTGCCTGAACAGTGACTATGGCTGCCTTTGGCCTTTGTATTTCCTCAGTTCTGCTCTGTTTTCAGTGTTCTGAGGCAGGGATGGGATATCTCTTGTTGGTTGGTTTGTGATGCAAAGAGCCAGCAGAAGCAGCGCTTGTCGTGGACCGGAACTCCAAAACGCTGCTGTGACACAGTGAAGAAGTGCTTTTCCAGTTATTTTATAGCACTTTGTTAAATAGATGGAAACCCGATGTGAATATTTTTTTTCTATTCCCATATTTTTGAAGGAACTTAAGTAAAGGTAGATTCATAACCAAGCTTCAAGTTCTATATTTTTACACCTTTGTTGACTGCCTCAGTTTAGTATAGACTTCTGGAAATAATCTTCTTGCCTTTTCTCTTTTTTTTTTCCCTTTTTTCCTTTAGAATTGCCAAAATGCTTTGGAATTCTTAAACGATTCACAAACTGAAGTCTCTGAGGATACAAAATCATAAGAACACGAGAAGCAGCAAGGAGGATTCAGTGCCAATGCAGCAACAAAAAAGACAGCCAGAGTTAGTGGAAGGAAATCTTCCTGTTTTTGTTTTTCCTACAGAACTTATATTTTATGCAGATGACCAGTCGACACACAAGCAGGTGTTGACTCTATATAACCCCTATGAGTTTGCCTTAAAATTCAAAGGTGGGTTTCTTAGGTTAAGTTCTGTTTAAGGGTCAGTTGGTGATCTTGAACAGTTCCAATTATAATTCATATAACAAATCATATTTGTGACAAAACTGAACTCCTGTCTTTATGTATTGATGAAGCTGGTGAGGGGTTAATTCCTGTTACCACTACTGTCCTTTTCATTTCAGTTCTTTGTACAACTCCAAATAAATATGCGGTGGTTGATGCTACTGGTGCTGTGAAGCCTCAGTGCTGTGTTGATATGTAAGTAAAAGTCGTTTGTGGTTTGTTTTTTTTTTTCTAATTTCTTGATCACCTTAATTTCTTTTCTTATTTAAGATCTAGTAAATGACAGCATGCATACTATAAATTAAGTAGGATAAAGTTACAATATTTTTCTAATCTCTTACACGATTGTGGCTGTCTCGTCTGTACCATTCTTTCACTCTAGGGCAGAGATATCACAATATTGGAGATATTTCCTTCTTTAATTTTGTCTTGAGGCATAAATAAAATGGTAGTAACTGCATCCTGTAGTATAGTTTGTAAACCAGCAGGGAGGGTAATATGAGCCTCCTCTGAGTACTTTTTTGTTATTTCTAACAAGAAAAGCAAGACTGCCCCAGGGTTGGGATTTCTTTGTGAGAAATAATTTGTTTGCAGATGGGCAAAATGAAAATGAATGCTGTTCTACTGAGCACACTTTCCTGGGCCATGTTTAACGAAGGTACTTTTCCTGCCTTTCACCCTGAGTGCCTCCCTCGGTCTCAGATCTCTCTGTCTCCCCTTTACATGTTTCTCCTGTCAGGTCCCAACCCAGTAACCCTCTGCCCGAAAAGGCAAAGGCCAGCTAAGTGACCACAATGACACATAGGGTCTGTAGGCTGCTATAATTCAAAGTGGAGTAGGTCTATAAGCTAAAATAGCCCCATCTTTTTCATCTTCCATTTGCCACATTATTTCTGTGCTGATGTACAGATACAGCTAAAGAAGGTATGAAGTACCAAAAAGAGCAGACTGGGTTTTCTCACTAGAAATTTGCAAACTGTAAAACACCTTTGGGAACCTCTGGCTGACAAACGGCCATAT